TACTCCAAAAGATAATACAGATATCGAGAAGTAACAAGAACAATAAAATTTTTATTTTATTTTCAAAATCATAAATATAACAATTAAATGAGTAAACAAAGCATGAAAAATAAAGTTTAAGCCGTTGTTACTCTCTAGAGACAAGTAAACTTATTAGTGCTCATATCTATAAGAATGGGTGTAGGTGTAAGTGTGAGGGTAGGAATTATCTTCTCTTTATTCACATGCCCACCCACATCCACATTCCACACTCGCAAATGCATGACATAGTTCTTCGAATGTCTCTCATTAACTTCGTTGTGCATTTAGAGAATATCAACGTTAGCGTTTTAATAAAAGAGTTTCTCTTGTTTTGAATCGAGTGAGTAGGATCAGCCAGATCATAAAGTAAGTAAAGATTTTGAATTATTCAGTGAAGGCATGTTTTCCTATTGATTATCAAAACAATAAAGGATGTTATACGGGTTGTAAGAATTGATTCTGTTCTTCGTTTAACTTTTAAAAATTCGACACTTCTGTATTTTCACGCGCCTTAATAGCCTTTGTTTTGATATGACGGTGAAACATTTGTCGTTGCAGAGTAAACATATAGGTTTTAAATTATTGTTACTGAAAGCAAAAGGTCCTATTCAACAAGTGTTTCATTTCCAGTTTGTACCAATTTTTATCAATCTATTTTTGCTTCGCAAAAATCATACAAAAAAAAATATCTATTCAAATGCAGCAGAGGCACTTATAATTAGAATAATTTTAAGATTCAGAAGTATAAACTTGTTTATAAGAAAAAAACGTCGACATTTTGGGAGATTTCTCTTGATCCATTCGTCTTATTACACTGCTTAAACTCAAATATTTGTTTTTGATATCCGATATCGTTTGACAAGCAGTTCGATCTGTGAGATAAAAAGATTCAGTACACTTATTTACCAAATATAGTACTACTAATCCAAGAAAAAACAGAACGAAAAAAAACCGGCTTACTCGCTATTTTCTATGTTGTTTAAGTGCATTTACAACCATGTTTCTCACTGCACTACTCCTCGCAGGTCTCATTGCTCTTTTGACTGCTTATTTTGTTACTTTGAAATCTCGCTATGACTATTTTCGTCTTCGAGGCATCCCAGGTCCTTCACATCTCTTTTTCTTTGGACATTATCGCACTATCTGGTCGGCCAAATTCTATTCACGTTTATTGCAATCATGGACACAACAATATGGTCCAATCTATGGTTTATATGACGGCACTCGACCACTTTATGTTGTCTCTGACGTTGATTTTCTTCAAGAAGTATTTATCAAACAATTTTCATGTTTTCATTCGCATCGTTTCTCATTTCTACTTCGAATGTCTGATGCACGTCCGTTAATTTCTGCTGATGTAAGACGATGGCGTCAGCAACGGCATGTGCTTAACCCGACATTTTCACCAGTCAAACTCAAGCTTATGACACCGTTGGTCGATCGATGCATCGAATCTTTCATCGAAAAATTATCCAAAATAACCAGTGACAACGCAAACGAATTCAACATCTATGCATTGTACAAACGGCTAACCATGGATGTGATCTGTGAGTGTTTACAAATCTAACGTAAAATTATTTTATGCATGCAACTCTCTGAATCTACCACTCCATCATTCGATAGAAGTATTTTGTGGAGCACGATTGAAAATGAGTGTTAAAATTTAGAGCAACAAAGTTGGGTATCTTCCCTTCCCTATAGACCGTAACAGAAATGTCGAAATCCTATATTATGGTTTTTTGGACTATGTAGTTGAGGACTTTTGAATTTTCGAACCTCAGACTTCTGAGATTCTAAATCCGAAATTGTAAAAGTCTACTTTTCTCTCATAATGTGGTATATTACTTCCTATTACAGAGTATTGCAGACGCAGAAAGACTTTTTTTCCTTAACTCTGTGGTGAAATCGAGTTGAATATAGCAAACACCATCATATTCATGTTAAATAGGTCCATCGTGTTTTATTACCTAGACTGAAAGGATAGGGTCTAGAAACCGTAATTCACCTCTGTCTGTCTGTCTGTCTGTCTGTCTAAAACAGTGGCACAGAGGACCATTCCCATGGTACGGTTGACCATTTTTTTTGGCACAAAGGACCATCATTGTGCAGAATTCATGTAAATATAGAAATACAATCACATCTTTGTCTTCATCCCGTCAGTCTAGGGCCCAGTGAATCGACATTCGATGTCGATGAACGTTACGTGTATTTAAATCCTGTATGGATTGTGCTGAAAACTTTTTTTCTACTGACAATTTTCCCAAACATGTGGATCTCTTTTTTTTGAACTGCGGTCGCTTTCAAACAAATTGTACTATTCCCCATATTTTCCTACTATAAGATTGCACTGTTATTTTCCTTTCTGTTAAAGCATCGATTTCGGCTCTCTATCATGAGTTTTCTTTTCATTAGGTCATTGTGCATTCGGAATTGATACGGACATGCAAAATGATATTAATAATGAATTTATGCTTAAATCGGCTGCTTGTTTCGAAAAACATGTTGAGCATGTTTTATTAACAAAATGGAGCTATTTGATGCCATGGCTCACACCATTCCTAATAAAATTCGTCCGTGGTCAATTAGCTATCATGGGCGCTTTACACAATATATTACCGACAATTTTTCCTGATATACTCGAAACAATTCCTACTTTGTGGCTTCAGTCAAAAGTAGATAGAATTATCGATACTCGTAGAAAGTCTTCAGAAACAATAAAAAGAATAGATTTGCTTCAGTTGTTACTTGATGCAACTACTACACAAAGTGATGTTAGTATTTAGAGAAATGAAGTGAAGATATGACCTGTCGTTTTTTTTTTAAGAAGCCAACAAGCGAGAACGAGCTTCATATTGACGAAGTCAAGGCCAATGCATTTTTGTTTATGGCTGCCGGTTATGAAACAACATCAACTGCACTTGCCTATTCTACGTACATTTTGGCAACTAAACCCGACATTCAACACAAACTTCATGCAGAAATTGATGTATATTATGAGAATAAGATCGACTATGATTTGATAACAAAAATGACCTATATGGATTTGTTTATCCGAGAAGTTCTTCGTATGTTTCCTATGTCGACCATGGGAATTACGAGACAATGCAATGAAACCACAACTGTCTGTGGCCATCAGATCGATAAAGGTAAATGTGCTGTCTTTTTTGTATTACAATAAAACAAAAGGATATATTGTTCATTATTAAGGAACTGTCATCCAACCAGACATATTTTCTATTCATTACAATAGTGAAATTTGGGGTCCCGATGATCCCAATCAATTTCTTCCAGAACGACACGCTACCGAACGACATCCATTAGCATATCTGGCATTCGGAGCAGGACCACGTGCATGTATTGGAATGCGATTTGCTTTGATGGAAATGAAAATGTGTTTAGCTCATTTACTTCGAAACTACACAGTGTTGCCTGGTGAACATTTAGAAGAAGGTTTTAAACTTCATGAAATCTTTGTCATACAACCCGATGCGATCTACATCAAACTCGAAAAACGTTGTTGATAGTGATAAAGGGTGGGTGTGGGTACGAATTCGTCCGATCTTATCCAACATAGCAGACACCCACCCACACCATACTTTTCAAAATCTATTAATTAGTTTATTTTATTATTTGAAATTAAATCATCTAATAGTTTTTCTCTATTTGTTTAACACTACAATCAAAAAGAGATAAAATCGAACTCGTCTATGTTTTCTTGGTTGATGATTGATTAGCTTTTTTCATCAATAGAGTTATATCGGTCAGCATCATTTTGACAATTTTTACATAAGTCTCATAGGCTGTCTTATTACCGGGAACAAACTTTTTCTGAATGTGTTTACCAATACATGATTGTAACAATTTCTTGTTCGACATACACAAAAGTGCATACTGTTCAGCTGTATTGCAGGCATTGTGTAGATGATTTACGAAATCGTCCATCGTCGATTGGTCTTTCATAATTCTTGAAGCGATTGCTAGAGTTTCTAGGTCAATATTGTTGCCAAGCTTGTCGAATGGTGATGATGATGATGAAGACGAAGGTTTTAGTTTTAATGCTGATGGACATTTTTTAGCTATATCAGCATGGTCGGATGTATTCAAACATATAGTGGCAATTTGACTGGCTGGATCATTAAAGATATTGCTCTTTGAACTGGAGACAACCTTTGAAATAGCTGTAGGTGGACAACATTTTTTAACAACTTGACACGTTTGTTTTAGTAGATTCTTTTCGTCATTTGAACTCTCAGCCCAGAGCTTTTCCATCAATTCAGCTAATTCTTTAGCATCTGTCTTGATTAATGATGACGAACGCTGTGGTTTTCCATCGATAGTAGCAACGAATATGAGGAGAGATAGAATGGCAATAGTCTTATGCATACTGGATAAAATCTTATGATGAGTAGCAACTACAATCATCAGAGTTTAAATACAAATTTCATGTACTATTAGATTTCATCATAAAGATAAAGAAAGAAGAAAGTTTGATTAAAAAAATATCAATAATATTTAATCTTGATTGAATGAAAGCTAAGATCGTATTTCACAATAAAAAAAACACATTATTTATCCATAGATGTGACTGTGTGAATTTAACCTAGAAGAAAACATTAGACTTTATATAGGATCAAAGAATACAGTGATATTGTCGAGATTGTTTGATATAATCCTTAACAAAGATAGTCTGGTAAAAAAAACAAAAAGTGAGTCTTCTAAAAATAAAACTTCCACTTTTCTTGAAGGTATGAAGCAAAGATCTTGTCGGCATTTTTGACGAGTTTATCGAACTCTATCTTAATCCGAAAGTTCGTGAGAAATAAATTTTGTCTTGTTGAGATATCCAATTTGAAGAAAAAATATAGAAAATCGTTCAAAGAATGATTGTCTCTAATAACGGTGTATCAGAAATCTGAATTCTTATGTAAACAAAAAACAGAAGACTTACTTGAATATTTCAATTGAACAATTAAATTGCTGAACTCTAGATTCTCAGATTGAATTTAAATATCAAATCTGAATATATAGCCTGCTTTGTGCTGATACTTCGTTATTATAGACAATATTTTTGAACGGTTTCCTATATTTTTCTTCAACTTAGGTATTTGAACGACACAAAATCTATTTCTCCCGAACTGTCGGATTAAGATAGAGCTCGATAAAATCTTTAAAAATGCTGGTAAGATCTTTCCTCTATTCCTAACAGAAGAGACTCAAGTTTTCGCTTTCTCATTATATATAAAAATTCATTAAATCAGCACTGTAATTATTCCAAGGGGGAAAAAGCGAAACTTCAAGAGTGCGTACTTCACTCGTACTGTAAAAAACTAAACTTTCGCTTTTTCCTCCTTGGCTCTATCTGATGGTGAAAATCATTTCTTGATAGCATTCTGGTGTACAGAAATATTCATTATATCATGTAGTCATAACTACTAAGGAGATGTGTCACCTAAAACTTTTTTGAATTTTTTTAGCCCATTGTCCTAGTAACATGTTGCAACACAGAAAAAAAATTAATTAAATATGTAATAATAATAATAATAATGATTTATATCACTAGTGACCATCTCTAAACCGTCATCTAATTTATAAACATAATCTTCGATGTCATTGCTAATTCATTATTAAATCCAACAGCAATATCGAAACATTGAGGATGCTTCATAAGCTCAATAATTAAAAATTCCTTTTTCACAAAAAATACTTACTGAATAATGTGAATATTTTTTATTTCTATCATCGTCATATGTTAATATATTAAAATTTTCATGATTATCAATAACCATAAGTTTACGTTATGGTTGATTCTAAAATTTAAAAAAATGATTTTATCGATATAGAAAATTATCAATGTCGAATTTGCAATTCAACATGCTATTGGATAGAGTTATTCCAGCTCCAATATTTTTCAAATGATTTTCAGTATAAACAAATACTCGAATAAAATGTAATTCATTATCGCTAACATAGAGTTCATGTCGATCATTGACACAGACACTTATCGAAGAATTCAAATGATCACATAAATCATATTGATGTCATATACAACCTGACGTTGCATCATAAATAATGGACTAAAATTAAAAAAACAAATTTTTTTTTCAAACAATATTTCTAAAGAATTAATTACGTTCATTATTTTTGATTCAATAACAATAGTTCGACCTTATTGATCAATATAGATAGCTGGTGGACTTCAACATCATTACCGAAATGACGAATAAATTCATCATTTCGATCAAATATTTGTATCATTGGTTAAGATGAATGTTGTACCATAATAAGCTAAATTAATATCGTTCAAAATAATTTTATAAGGAAAAAAAAACAAATTTTACTAAATCATGTCTAGGTAAAATGCCAATATAATATGGATAAAATAATGCACCAGGTCTCATTACAACTTAACGAAACTTCAATATACATTCTCGTCAATCAGAATCAAAAAGTTTCACTTGACTTGAATTAGTATCAACAACTGTAATGGTATTATCTGATAGAAAAGTAATACTATTTGGTTCAAGAAATTCATTGATCCCACGATCATAACCACCAAATTTATATTCATCTAAGAAAAAGAAAAAGAATCTTATTGAAAATATTTTTTTTCGCTTAATCAAAATTTACATGGGTGTGGGGTATGGGTGCAGATGATCGTTTTCATCTTCTCCTAACGGACATCTTACACTCACACCCAACCCTGGCAGTAGGCCCTGGACGATTCGTCCTACTTCATCTCCTAAAACCAAGTGAACTCATTAACTTTTTCCCTTATTGTCTCTATTATGTGATACTGCTGCTTTGCATGCGTGTTTTTGGTACACTGCTATTTGTGTCTTCCGATGTTGGTTCTTGTGCAGATGGCAAACAGAATTATGATAGTTAAAATCGAAAGTTGTTTTTTCAACTGATTTTTACTAGAGAATAGCTTTATTGTTTCACTTCTTCACATGTGTTCCTCGCGGCATAAACGTATGCTGATTAGTATGACATATGGAGCTTACTAACAAATACTTTCATAAATTTTTAATACTTCTCAATGAATTGGAAAAATATGAAAAGACGGA